AGGATGGAACAAATTTCCAAGTCTGAGTCAGCTAGAAGTCTCTCTGGAAAGTCTCCTAAGGATCATGAAGAGAAGAGAGAATTAAGCTCCCATGCAAGCTTGAGAAGGACCGAGGAGCCACCTGATGATGGTAAAGTACCAAGGGAAGAAAAAGAAGAAGAGCTCAATGGCAGGAAATAAGAAGAAGCAAGCTCCGAGCAGACTGCATCTGGAGCCACGGGTATGTCTTACCTAACCACGACCAAGGCTTCCTCCACCGCGGTTGCGAGATCTCTAACCATGGGGATTGGTCTCTCAGTTTCACCTCTGGGATTTGCAACAAATGTTGAAAATCATTTAATCCTCTCTCCACATTCTGCCCCTAAAAGAACAACCCAAGAAGGACGAGATCAGGTTACAACAGAAGAACCAGATTCAGGAGAACCCATTCCTTGTGTCCCCTGCAAGATGGCAATAAAATTTGATGAGGATTCAACAAACTCTTCGAGTCAAGGGAGTCCAACACACACTAAGATTCAGATGCCCTACATAGACTCGATCATCTGCTTCGACGCTACTGCCTTCTACTGTGAGTCCTATTCAGCGTTTGAGAGATCCACTAATACTGAAGACGAAGTGCAAGTTCGAACTCTGCATAAAATCAAAGAAAAAGGTCAATTTCTTATCTCTTGATCGATTAGAAGTGAAAGATTTAACCATGTTCTTTGTGATTCTGGAGCTTGTCTCAACATGATGTCCAAAGCAACTGCTTTGAGGCTTGGTATTAAGCATCTGCGCAGGACTAGAACAAGGATAAGCTTAGCTGATGAATCCAGTTCCACACCTAAAGGAGTAGCTTATGACATTCCTTTGAGGATAGGAGACTGCATTGTTCCTGTCAATTTCTACATTGTCAAGACCAAAGATGATTCACATCCTATCATTCTTGGATGGTCTTTCTTAGCAACTACCAGAGCCATCATGGATTGGCCAAACCGGAGGATCTCATTTGCTAATGTTGAAGAGGACACCTTCTTCAATGCTGTTCCTTTTAACAGAAAAGAGGGAAAACGTCCTGCAACAGAGATGTTGAAGCAGAACTTTGGAGTGACGAAGAACCTGCTAGGCAAAACAAGGAGATTTCGAAAAAGACTTGTGTTCGGACAATGTCTTCTTCATCGGACTGAGCCACTTCCTACACCAAGTTGAGCTAGACGACTTAAAACAGAAGCGCTTAATGGGAGGCAACCCATTTAGGTATTGTTTTCTTTAGGATTTTTTTTTTAATTGATCCTTTTTCTTTTTCTTAGTTTCAGGTGTTTCTTAAAAAACAAAAAAGCAAAAAAAAAAACCGAAAAAACCAAAAAAAGGGATTGGTTCCAGACTGCTCGGCCCAGCAGGAACCAAGGAAAAGCAGTATCAGGCCGCATTTAGCTCCCACGGCCGCATGAGTTTGGACTGCGGGAAAGGAAGCATCGACCGCGTCCTCAAGTTTGTAACCGCGGCCAGGAATAAATTCACTGCGGTCGCGTGAGCCCGGACTGCAGCCAATGGTCGTTCAGACGACCTCCGACCCATTCTCACCCATTCCACCTCACCATGACTCATTCCACCTCATCCACCCCACCCCACCACTTCCCATCACCTTCAAGTATCTTTCTGAATGGATCCCGCTCATTCCCCTCAGCATCCCGAATCCAGGTAAGTTCCTTTTAGCTTACCTTTTGGATATATCTATGCATTTTTGTCAGCAAATCTTGACTTCTTTCACACTGAGGACAGTGTGATTTAAGTCTGGAGGAGGATTTCATTCCTTTCTAACCAGTTTTCTTTCATGAGTCTTGCCTTATCTACACTTTTTGCATTTTCCTTAAAGTTTTTCAAAAATGGTTTTCAAAACAAAATACGTTTTAAAGGGAATGTTGAACATAAATTGAAGTTGACTGTGTGCTTTTAGACTATTCATAGTGACATGCACATTCGTGATTTAGGACTATACTAGGCGGTAGCTAAGCACATTTGAAACGAAGTACCCCAGAGGAATTTGAATGATCTCGATTTAGATGAAGGAATATACTAGCTCTTTTTTATCAGGACTTAACATTGACTTAATTTTCTCATTGAACCATTAGATCAGGGAAACACATCATACATTCAGGACTTCTTATCCCTTTTACCACTCTTTGTTGATCCTGAATGGCTAGTTCATCTTTAGCTAGTTTCCCACCTAACCTAACCTCTTTCAAACCACACGTATTCTCGTTTTTCATTGTGCTATATGCAGATACGTGCAAAAACGTCGGAGAGAAAGAGGATCAACGTAGTTTTCAGTCACTAAAGACATAGACCTGCGAATTCACCGGAATGATTCAACAAAGGAGAAAACTTGGCTTGCCTCAGAAAAATCACCAAATATTGATACATTTTCATCCCTTAGACTCTCTCTTTCAATAAAATGTTGTTTCCCTAAAAAATAATTTCAAAAAGTAAAGAAACTAAAAAAAAAAGAAGAAAAGAAAGGAAAAGAAATTAAAAACCTTAGAAAGTCTAGGAGGATCGAGTTTTATCATTGAGGAAAGCATTAGTTCAATTATTTGTAGTTTTGGAGATTATCTTTCTGATTCTCCGAAAAGATCTAAGTCTGGGGGAACAGCTGTTTTTCAACAAATGAGGAAGGACTATGCAACAACCCTTAGCCAGAAGAAGTGACTAAAAATTGCGGACATCAACAAGTCCACCCTCTCTCTTGCGGTTTTGCCTAATTAATATCTTGCATCCTCCCGAGTTTCATACTTTAACTCCACTTAAACAGCCCTTAACACCAAACGCCGTCTACCCTGAATGATTTCTTTGATGAGAATTCACTATTGCCCTTAATGAATGTAGAGAGCTAGTTGACTGGAATCGAGATTTAGATTGTTTAAGTTTTGCATGACAGAAAAAGTGGACTAGTATCTTTCGTGTCTTGGTGAGAATTTTTTAGACTAAGTTGTGATTGTTGTATGATCTATGGTCATATTTTAAAGGTTCATGTCTCTGAGATTTGTGCATTTCTTATTTTTATTTCTATTTCACCTGATTTGATTTTTGCTTTGTTTGAGGACAAACAAAGGTTTAAGTCTTGGAGAGTTGATAACACCGTATTTCACCATTTTTATGGATTGTTTTGAATACTTTTCTTATGTTTTTTATTTTTTTAAAGCGTTTTAATTATATTTTTTTAGTATTTGTAGTTTGAAATTATTTTCAGGAAACTTAAAAAAATGCTTAACAAAATGGATAGAAAACCAGATTTTCAGCTCAGAGTGAAACCTTCAGAAGTTCACCCTCAAATGAAGACTTTCTCACCGTCTGATCCAGCTCAAATTTGAAGATCTTAATAATGGAACAAACAGTTTTCCAGCACACTTGACATCAAGACAATCCAACGGTTCAATTAAAAGTTACGCGAAAAGCAAGATGTCCCGTCAACCAGCCAGCAAGCAATCCAGTTTACACCGGTCCCGTTCAACCAGCCTTGAAGCCCATTTCCACGCCCAAATTGATTCCTTCATTTGGAGAAACCCTAAGTGATGCCTAGAAATGTCTTGAGCATTATAAATACATGTTTTAAGAACCCTAAGTCATATGTTCTTTTATGCTTAAAAATTCTTTTTAGGTTTTAAGTACTTTTAGAGTTGTTTTAGGTTTAGGGATATAGAGATCTATCTTGTGAACCCTCTTTGTTTCATTTTCAATATTGATTTATATTCAGCCTTTCAATACAATGTTTTTTCTTTCTTTAATCATGTCTGAGTAGTTTTACTGTTGGGTTTAAGGGAATTTTTGATGGGGGTTACATATGTTCGATGAGGATTCCATTAGCTATTAAAGCCGAATCCTATAATTTTTTCTTTTAAACTTATTCTTAATGCATTGGAGTAGCGTCATGAACTATAATCTGATTTAGGTTTGTAGTGTTGTGAAAGTTTTCATTAGGAGCCAGATCTAGTTTGAGAAGAGCAATTCTACCATAGGAGTGGAAACCTACATATAGGTGAGCTGTGAATGTTGACGAGTCTTAAGCAAGATCGCATCTTTTCCCTTCTGGGGCCAGAGTAAAAAAAACTATTGGTCAAGGTTGCGAGAGATAATTGGTTATGACTACGACAGTGACATAGTCATTAGTCATACGTTCGTGACTCGAGTTCGAAAAGTTTTAGCTTGGATCTTTTAAATTACTTTTTAGCAATGTTTTGAATCGTTCATCCCCGGAGATAAATTTCTCTGAAAACCCAGCGTTTCGTCTTTATAAATTTTCGCCGATTTTCATACAAGCTTTAGTCATTAGGTTAATTTCTTCATTCCAGCCAATTTTCATTCGAGTTTTAGATTAGTTTTTTTTTTAGTTTTTTCAGGGATTTTTCTTAAGTGTTTTTCCCTTTCCCGTTTAGTTTAGAATTTATATTTTAGTGCCAATCCAAAAACCCCTTTAAATTCGACCAATCTAGACTTCCTTACTTCATATTTCTTTCAAAGGCTTTTGCAGGAAAATATCCTCCTTCCCTGTGGATTCAGATCCCTAAGTACTACAATCGATCAGCTGTGCACTTGCGGCTTATTGATTCTTATTAGGGTTAAACTTGATATCCCACACACACCACCATCAGGGACCACTTATCATGCCAGAAGAGAGTTGACCGACCACTCCCGATCTCAACTTTGAGAAAATTTGCAACTTGTGGGCGAGATCGTAAAACTTGCTTCCACATCCAAAACCCCAGAGAGTTGTTTTTATGATCAGGAGTTGTCCGTATAGACTCATGATGCATTAAATTGGCCCTAGTCCAACGAACCCAAAGAGAGTTTGCTGTGATGAGTCTCCATGCCAGCTTTAAAAATACAAACATCATTTGCTTCTTGGATGCTTTTTAAACCTAGGCCTCCCTCTTCTCTAGGTTTACATACATCCATCCAAGCAATCTTTGCCTTCCGAGGATTGAGATCAGGCCCAAACCACAAGAATGCAGAGCAGATGCGTTCTATTTCTGCAACACAACCAGACAGTAAACGAAAAGCTGAAATCTAGAAATTTGTGATGCTTACAATAACCGATGAGAGGAGCTGTAATCTTCCTGAAAAGGATAATGCCTGAGCTTTACATGAGCTAACTCTGCCCCTGATTCTGTCGATGAGTGGTTCATAATCAAGTGTCTGCAATTTCTTTGTTAACAGAGGTATACCAAGATACCACACCGGTAATGATCCAAATTCAAAAGCCAACCGCTGGGATATACTTGCTCTTGGCGTGTCCAAAACACCAGCTAGATAGACCATTGACTTCTCCACACTTATCTTTAAACCCGACATTCTCAAGAAATCATCAAAGACTCCAACAATGCCTTCAATCAGTCTCATTGTTCCATCAGAAAAAACCATAAGATCATCAGCAAAACAAAGATGTGTTAAGCTGATGTTTGAACACTTTGGATGAAACCCAAATCTCTGGTTAATTGCAGCCTTATCAATCATTTTAGACAGCACATTTATGAACATCCCAAACAGATACGACGACAGAGAACAACCTTGCCTCAACCCCCGTGAACTCCCAAAATAACCAGAAATTCTCCATTGACTTGAACTGAATATGCAGCTGTTGATATACAGAGCTTGATCTAGTGAATAAACTCTGCTGGCAAATTCAGAGCTTCTAAAGTATTTAGCAAGTAACACCATTGAACCGAATCAAACGCCTTTGAGATATCAATTTTCAAAGCACATCTGGGAGAGATTCTGCTCTTATGATAACCTGAAACCAACTCCGATGCAAGAAGCAGATTCTCACTGAGTAACCGATCTTGTACAAAAGCCGATTGATTTGAAGCGACGAATCTCAGAAGAATTCGTTTCAGTCTATTCGCAAGAATCTTGGAAATGACTTTATACTGCACATTACAGCATGAGATAGGTCGGAAATCCTTCATTTGCTTTGCCCTTTCTTTCTCCGGAATAAGAGCCAGAATCGTGGAATTGACTCCTTTAGGTAAAAAACTTTTAATGAAAAAGGATTGAATACCGACCATTAAATCATTCCTTATTACTTACCAACTCTCCTTAAAGAATTCAACCTTGTATCCATCAGGACCAGGCGACTTGTTTGATGCCATTGCGAACAGAACCCCTTTACTTCATCAGCTGTTACCAGTTTTAACAGATTCGTCTGATCCTCCCTAGAGCATTGAAAACCAAGTAGCTCTCTCAATGCGGCAACACTTTTGTCCTCAAGGTCTTTGGGTACAAAGTTTAGAAATCCTGAAAAATGGTTTGCGGCCACTTCTTTGATTTCATTCCTCCCCGTGATCACTTCTCCATCCTGCTCAAGTTCTCGAATGGCGTTCTGAGCTTCTCTGGTTTTCACCACTCTGTGGAAGATTTTGTTATTTCTGTCACTGATGTTTAGCCAGTGAAGTTGTGCTTTTTGAGCTAGGAAATTTTTCTCCAAAGTTGCATTTCTTTCCCATGAATCAGAAGCCTCAGATTCTTCTTGCTGATGATTCTCTGATGGATCATTCAAGATCTGCTCTTGCTTGCTACAGAGAACCTCATAATCTTCCTTCACTCGACGAGATTTATCACTCAACAAATCCTGCGATACCGTGTGATCTATTGGCTTCAGGAATTAGTTTTTTAGAAAACCGAAACAGGGCTGACGTAGAATGAAACAGGGGAGAGGTGTTGTCCCAATACTCTTTCAAAGCTTCATTAAACTGATGTGTTGTAGCAATCACATTGGAGAATTTAAACCGCTTATTCGGTCTAGGAGTTTCCACATCAATATAAAATCTGCACCGAAGATGATCCGAACATCCACCAGCTTCAAACACACAATATGAGATCGGGAAATGATCTAGCCAAGCATCATTAACCAGCAATCTATCCAAATTTTTGCAAATCAAACCATTCGACCTTTTGTTACACCATGTGAACAGAGGTCCATGCGATCCCATGTCACTAAGCGCACAATCTCGAACTAGAGCTTGAAAGTCCTCCATACCATTTGAGATTACCGATCCAGAGTTAACACCAGAGTGCTCGTCTCTTGAGATAATCTCATTGAAATCACCCATTACCATCCACTTCATTATTCGATATATTTTAGAGAGGGCAATGCTGCAAAGATAACTCCACAAAGTTTTCCTCTCCTCCATAAAATTCGAACCATATACGAAGGAGCATAGAAGTTCTTCCACTCCTTGCAGCTTCACCAAAACCGTAATCATCTGACTAGTCTTGAAACAGGTGTTAGACGCACTGAATCTTGCCAAACCACCCATATCTGTCCCTACCGTTGGTGTTCGTAGTTGTTCATTGAAGACCAATTTGGAAACACCTTTGCAACTATACCATCTGCCTTATTTTCTGCTACCCGAGTTTCTATTATACCACCAAAAAGAAAATCACTTTCCCTGCACCAATTATTTATAACCTTATGTTTCTTTTTCTTTTTGAAACCCCTCAAATTTCAAAAAAAAATCCTGACATTATTGGGTGGGTTTAGTTTGACGGTTCTTGCTTCTCTTGCCCATAGTCTGCGAAGCATTCGAGGCAGGAGCAGTTGTTTCAAACTTGTGAGTTGATTTTGAACCCTTGGAAGCGAGATTCTTCCACCAGCATTCATAGAGTTTGCACTTTTTCTTAATTTAGATTCAGTGCCACTTGTTCTGAATCAGAAACCTTTTCTGTTTCGATTTTTCCATTCTCTGTCTCGTTGTTTTCCTCCTCCTCTTCCCACTCTGCTTTGTTGATTGCTAAAGAAGCAAACCGGGATCCTGAGCCCTCTATCTTATCCACTCCCACATTGTTTCGTGATTTCCTTGCCGGAGATTTCACTTTTTCCTATTCCTCTGTCTCCTTTGGTTTATCCTTAGTGCTCGCTTTCTTGCTTCCCACATCTCCTCCAATCAGGCGAGCAGAAGCAGAAGCAGCAGCAGGTTCCTCCATTACTTGTTTCAGCATTGCTGGTGGAGTTTTCGAAACCGAGACAGGCGACTCAGGAATCACCAATGAATCATCTGCACTCTTTTTTGATACCGAGTTATTAATCTTCGCAGGAGATTGTTTCTCTCTTGGAAGAATGATCTTATCAGCAGGAACAGCTCTACAGTCTTTGGCACCATGTCCCCATTTGCCACATGACGTGCATCGTGGGGGTAACCATGGGAATTCGTAGTAGACAATCATATCAAGTTCTGTAGAGGATTTGAAAGAGAATGACTCAGGTAGCTTCTTTTGCAGATTGACATTCACAAAGACTTTAGCCTCTTCAAAATTTTTTGCCTATAAAGTGTCTTGGTGTAAATTTTTCGGATCACCTAGCGGACTAGTTAGAAAGCCTAGTCCTTTCCAAGAGAACATCGTTTTCAGAACATCGTTCCCAGAACATTCCGTAGAACTACCCACATTGGGATAAACTTAATTTCCAGTTGAGCTTATTCCACTACTGGACTCAGTTTTAACATGATCATAGGAATGTTTTTTATACTCCACATTCCTCTTCTCAAAACTCTAGCTCGGATTGCTGGATCCGCTATCTTAAATTTATAGTTGTGTCATCAACTACAAAGACCTCTACCTTTTTAGATTTGTCACCTAGTGTCCAAATCCTATTCACCGTCATAAAAATCAATCCTACGTGAGGAGCTTTGGAGACAAACTTTCCCATTAGACAATCCTTCCATAGCGGTGGTGCATCCTCAAAAACACAATCTGGGACGTGAATCGTATCAACACCATTCACCCCTTCCACCACAACATCATACTTTTGCAGTTTTGTTTTCTCCGAAGCCACCAAATCCCATGGCTTCTCTGAACTTTTTATGACACCCCCTCGCAACTCCTTATTCCCTGCTTCCAAATCCATCGTCTGAACCACCTCCACCGCTAAGTTCTGTTCTCCTGACACCTCCTTCCCCACCGGGGAACCATCGCTAGACTGCAAGAGATCCGCCGCAAGCTCCTTTGCGGGATCCTGAGCTAAACCCTTCGAATAGACCTCCAGCTCCTTTCTCAATGACCCCTCCGTTAAGACCAAACCCTCATTGCTCATCACCACCTCTGATGGAGGAGCCCTCTGTTCCAGCGCAGCCATAGCCCTTGCGTGGGCCGAAAGTTTTGAGAAACTTTAGAAATCTAATCGCCAATTCAGTCGCTCTCTTTGGTGACGTGTCCTTCTTCAGGTTGGAATGCGCAGCCTTTTATATTGTTGGTTTCTAATGTAATTAAAAAATAATCCATAATATTTCTTTGATAAGAATGATTATCATTTTATTGCGTTACACATACCTTGTTCAATACCTTGTTCAATACCTTGTTCAATAGATGATACGCACTATAAAATTTATTCAACCTCGTTAGAGTTATCAACATTAAATTATATCCACCAAAACACCATACAATTAGACACATATTTATAACAAAACACAATTCAAACCACTCATTGAATTTGGTCTACATAATGAAGTATTGTTATAAGAGTTTATTATTTATTTATATTAAATTTATAAAAGAATAATCCCACATAGGTGTGTGGGTGGTGAGAATCTAGTATATAAATAATAATATAACCATGGAAAATTTATTGGGGTTATAAGAAAAAAAAATCGTCGTCTTATCCTATCTCCTCCTACATACGACTATGAATAAGTTTGGACAATTATGTAGAACAAAAAAAAACCAAAACTGAATTAATTAGGAGAAACCAAACTGAACTAGATAGTTATAGATATTTTTCTGGATTTTTAAAAAAAAATTTTGGATACCCAAAAAAAATCAAAATCGAACCGAAAGTTGAATAGGTATCTAAAATATAATTGTATACATGAAAATATTATGTATATTTAGACCTAAAATAACCAAAATACCTAAAATTATGATTATATCCAAAGATTATTTTGTTTTCCAAGTATTCAGATCGTTTGGATGAAATTATCAAATTATTCAAATAGTTTGGTATTTTTTAGATATTGTTGGGGTCGATTTCTGCCCCAGCTAATTAACCATTTCAAAACGACTGCATCAAAAGATATTGACTAACCTGAGCCATGTGAAGAGCCGAGCCGAGCCTGTTCATAAAATAGGATGGGCTGATTCTTGGAGCGAGATGGGCCGAACCCCAGAAGCAGCGCAGGCTGAGCTATGCATGGAGAAGAATGGGCCGAGCCGATTCTACTTAGATGGGACTAACTGAAGGACGAAAGCCCGTAAAAACCTTAGGCGGTGTATTATGACGGTGGCCGCACGAAGAGATAAGGAAATATTTCGAAAATCTCTCCCGGGATTCTCGGCTAGGCGGTTTAGAAAGTTAATATAAATAGATACTGTATGCAATTCATTCTGTAACTTTTTGCAACCCTGAGCAATAAGAGCTAAACACTTTTACAGCAAGAAAAACTTTCTTTCGATCTTACTGTTTTTGGCGATAAACCCTAGAAGTTTCCGATCCCTTAGTTTTTCTTAAACAAATTTCTGGTTGT